TCAAGGGAGAATGAGTTTTAGTACATGGAACTAGAGATAAAAGCTTCTTAGAGCAGTGACCATGATAGTATTTGTAGAAAAGAGAAAGATCTAACTTTAAAATGATGGGAAAGAGGCTTGAGCTTAGAAGATAGACCAAGTCCAACTATATTTACAATGCATTTTTCATCTAGAAAAGAAAGAGCATCATAAGAAGAGCCAGCCCAAATATGACAACAGTTTTCCATACAGGGGCTAATAAGAGATTAGTAGAGGTGAAGAATGGAATCAGGAGAGATGAAATGATGAGCACGAAGAAGTGAGATCAGATTCAAGATTGGATGCCTGTTATAAGCAATCTAAAACAGAAGACTTTTTGTCAAGACAGGAGTATAAAGTTGAGTCATCAGCAAAAAGAGTTACCTTATATGTAATGTTGCTGGAAAAATTAATAATTTAGATAATAATAAAACCTTGAGGTACCCCAGAAGTTACTGGAAATGAATTAGAGTGTTGGCTTTTGATGATGAGCTTTATAAAGCCATTACAAAGAAACGATTTGATAATCTCAAAAACTTTTCCAGATACACCAAATAAATCAAGCTTATGGAGAAGATTAACATGCCAAACTTTGTTGAAAACCTTAGATATGTCAAGAGCAATAGCCCTTGCCTCTCAACCTTTATCTAATGCACAATCTTTCAGTCACAGTAGTTAGCCACATAGCAAATCGATGAGCGAGAGGATCGAAAACTGTATTGATTGTCTGACAGCAAGTCATTTGACTCAAAATGGAATATGAGATGTTTAAACGAACAGGCTCCTTTCTGTCTACTAACTTAATGAGAGCACAATCATAAGTTCTCATACCTACATTGAAGATTGTCTTCATATTTATGCTTTGAAATTTGAAAAAAAGAAATGTGTTTATAAATTGTATTTGAGTTTCAGGTGATGAAAAAGTTATTATTTAAGCATTTTGCAATAGATATCTTATCTACTAATTGCACTCCATCGTGCATTCAACATCGTGGTTGAAAAGAGATCGAATTTCACTTTAACAAGCCTTTTTTGGACAAGACTTACAAGCATATATATATATATATAAATATATATATATATATATATATATATATATATATATATATATATATATATATATATATATATATATATATATATATATATATATATATATATATATATATATATATATATGTATATATATATATATATATATATATATATATATATATTTATATATATATATATATATATATATATATATATATATATATATATATATATATATATATATATATATATATATATATATATATAAATCTTTATTCAAAATTGATTTGCATTACAAAAAATGAATTGTACAATATTATCTATTTTGTTATTTCTCTCTCTCTCTCTCTCTCTCTCTCTCTCTATATATATATATATATATATATATATATATATATATATATATATATATATATATATATATATATATATATATATATATATATATATATATATATATATATATATATATATTTATTCCATTAATGAATTTTAGATAATTCTTCAAACGAATGCGACTTCAGAAATCTCACGTTTATTCGTACAGCTAATTTCAAGCAAAAACAATTATATATTGGACAGTGGATTTAACACTAGAAAACCTTTTTTATAATTGATGATATATTTTTATAAACATAGATATATTGGATTGTAAAATAAACTTTATTTTTGTCAATTTTTTAAAAATATTTATATCAATTGTTGAAAAAAGGTTTTTTTTTCTTTATTGCCATATTTTGAAAAATATGTAAAATACTTAGGAAAGTCGTAATTTGCATTTCTATTTTGGCCTTAAGTAACTACCTTAAATATCTTAAATGATTATAATTAAATATTAAAAATCTATTAAATAGTTATATATTATATAAATATCAGATAATAAAAAATGTTCAAGAAGTCAAAAAAGTATCCGTGCAACGAAGTAATAATGCAAAAATATTGAACGGTTCGTTAAAAAACTATAACGGGTTCTTTAAAGAACCTTATTTTAAGGTTCTTCCGAAGAACCTTCGTAAAGGGTTCTTTGAAGAACCTCTACGAGTTCTCCACCAGCGTCAACACGAAGAACCCTTGAAGATTTTTTGAAGAACCATTCGGGTTTAGAGTGTAGATACGATATAAATGAAATGATTATTATTAGATTTTAGCAGCCGTGGCACTTAAACGGCTCGAAGCCGTTTTTTATTTATTTGAAGACATTTGCTAATTTGAAAACATTAAATGTTGTGAAGCGCTTTAAAATCTATTGTTTGTTTACCTGTTAAAAAAAGAACTAAATTTATATGAAAAAAAATTTATGCAGAACTTCTTTTTTGAAACTCTTTACAATTAATTTCTTTTGTTTTTAATTTAAATTTAAAAGTATTATCACTATTTTTACTTTGTAAAACTTAATGGCCAGGAATAAATTCGCAATGGCCATGTTTTGGATCTCTGGCCATGATTTGATGTTTTTCACGCCTTCTAATATTTGTGCTAAAACTTATTAACAAAAGCTTCCAAACTTGTCATAAATTGTATCTTAAGAGGTTTTTTAAGAGTTTAGAAATATTTTTAAGAATCTAAGCGATTCGCGGTAACATGAAGCAGTTTAAATTTAAGCGGCCATGATTTGATGGTTTTACCCTAAAAAAGTTTATTTAAAATTAGAGATCGTTATTTTAAGCATTATATAGTGCATTTTTGGTACTTAAATCATTTTTAAACATTGCTCATTGTTAGTTTTGTTTATTGTTATTCTGTATTTTTATTAATTAGCACCGTTGTTTAAGGTAAATTTAATAACACTTCAATGTCATTTAGAAAACAAAATTGTCGGAAATAGTGCAAAACCGCATTGGATTATACCGCGTATCTAAAATACATTTTTTTTACAGAAGAAATTTATTCATATTTTTTGTAATCTCAACAATAAATATTTGGTGTTAAAATTAATAATATCCGAATAGCCAATGCTAGTAATGCGGATTTTCCGAAATTTTAACTATTGTTTTTATCTCGCTTGCTTTTTAAGCTTTTATCTACCTTGCAATTAAAAATACGCAAATATAAATAATCGTTCCTAATGGGATATGATCTAAACACAACCGTTTCATTCTGTGTAAAATCCCTTCTGGGCTAATCGAAGTAACGGAAACCGGCATGATTTAGCGCTTAAACGCTAACTAAATATTCAGAACTCATTTAGAATTGATTCCTAATCGTTTAGAACGACGTAAATGTCATCTAAACGCAAATTAATTATTCAGAACACGTTTAGAATAGATTCCTAAACGTTTAGATCGACGTAAATGCCATCTAAACGTGATCTAAACCAATTTTAAACCAACAAATGCCCGTTGGGTTCGTGATTATTTAAACAATCATGGGTTTCCAAAAAATTTTCATAAAGTTTTGGATCACTATCTTTTTTTGATTCCCATGATGTACAGGCGTTGCATATTTTTAAAAGAACTCGATAGTCAACACTTTTCCCTGAGTCACTAGCAATAACAGTAACAAAACCATTAAGTGAGGAATGACCCCTTTTTTGCCAAGTTCCATCACAGGAAACAACAACATCAGCTATTACATTAATATCAAAATCATTTGGTTGGATATCACTGGTAAAAAATTAAAATTAATTTGCTGCATTTTTCACTTTTACATTAGCTACAATTTGATATATGATATGAATTTTATCTTGAACATCATTAAATGCTTTTATGTTCATTGGAGGAGGTAAGTTCATTAAACCACCAAATTTTTCCAAACCAGAATGACTTTTTCCAATCTCTCTCAATACAACAACAAATCTACAATTTATTTCAAATAGTGACATTCCTGGACCTTGCTTTTCAATCTCTTTGCTAGAATAAAAAGACTGTTTCCAATTGCATGAAGGTGTTGCACAAGAAATGTTTAAAAACACTGCCAAGCCTTTCTTTTTTGATAAATCAGCTGAGATTTTAATTGAATTGTTATGGCATTAAGGACAATGTCCAATCAAAGTAACAATTGATTTTAAAATGTTTGTGTCAATAAGTATAAAGCATGAAGGCAATTTATTTGAAACATTAGTTTTTGCATTACTATTTTTACTGCTATGTCATAACTTTTTTGAAGATGTTGATGTCAAGATTTTTAATTGAGTTAAGTTAGTGATTTCCGGTTGAGAAGTTAAATTAATGCTAGTTGTTGATACTGAGGAAAATTGATTTCCTCAAAAGTATTTTGTTTTTTGAAAATCCTGTTACCACCTGCTTTCCTTCTTAAATTTGAATCACATTTAATTTTTCCCAAATTAAAAACAAGCACAAAGCAAATAAAGTATAACACGAGGCTGATTGTTTTTCTATAAGTAATATATGTAAACATAGTAATTGTACTTAAAAGTCATGGCTTATTTAGAAAAATAAACATGAAACAGTTACTGGCACCAGTCTCAAAAACTTATAGTAAATGGCGCAACACCTATTTTCTAATATAAACAACCCGTTGCTAAGGCCGTTGCTAAGAATATTATTTAACTTCACTATGAAACTTGCTATTTTAGAGCATTTTTAAATTTACTCATTATAATGATTTTTATATATTTGGAATGTAGAATGTTTGGGCTTCAAGAATATGCAATTTTTGAAAAATGGATTTTTTTGATTTTTTTTAGTATAGGACCACCTTAAAGAAGCATAAAGAAATAAAAAAATACTGATAAACGAATCAAACTTTTCTTTTATTTAAGCTGCTTTAAATAAGTACCGTAAAGAAAAGTTAAACGCTGAACGCATTATCTAAATACTCAAAAACAAATTAAACATTAAACAGATAACTTTTTATTTATATCTAAGTCTAAAATACAAGTAAAATCATTTTATTTATTATTATATGCATTATCGTATTCGTCATCATGATCGGCTCCATAATGATCACTGTCATCTTTGCTTGAACTGATAACCTTTCTTATTTTCACCTATACGGAAGGGAGCCATTCTAAGATAAGAACCAATGCACGATACCATATTGCGGATACCGAAGTCATACAATCTTTTTACTAAAAATAATAAAAATAACTCAATAAACATCTTCATTCTATTCATATAAATCATTCATTTAACATTTATAAATCCATAGTTTTATAGATTATAGAAGATTGTACATTAGTACAGTGTACATTGAGTAACTATAGTAAGAATTCATAAAGAACATTTCTTTAAAACTCTGTATAATATATAACATATAATAAAAACCTTATTAAAAAAACTTGTAGTTATCGCAAGTTTGATGACTCCCATTATCCATTGTCTTGAGGAGCAGTAGGCACACTCAGTATCCTGTTTGATTGAAACTTTCTATTTAATTGAAAAGTTGTGGAGATACGGACAGTTTCACTACAATTTAAATAAACATGTAAAAATAAAATTGTAATTCCTAAAATTCTTAAAGTTAAAAACTAATCAATAAACATTATAATTAAAATTCATATATCAAAATCATATAAGTACTAACAAGCAACTCAAGCTAAAAATTAAGTATTACTTGATCAATCCATTATATTAAGTGACCCGGTCCCCAGCCCCAACTAAAAACAGAGGTTTTTGCAAACCCGGCCCCGGCCCTGCTAAACATACACAATTTGCAGGGGTTACTAGCCGGGGCTGGATTTTTGTTGTTGTTTTTGTTGCTTTTTTTTTAAATTTTGTCAAGTTAAAATTTTTTGTTAAAGTTTAAGGAAATATAAGAAAAAGTCACAAAAATAATATATAATATAACTCATAAATATTTACAATGACAAATAAGAAATAAGATACTTTATAATAGTTTAAGTTTCTTCCTCTGATTCTGATGATTCTGTGTTTTAGACATCATAATATTTTGAACTAGGTGGTGTAAAGTCTTCAGGGGCATCACATAAATATGTTGAATAAAAAAGAGTCCTTAAATTGTATTTCAAAAAAAGAAGTGTTTCAACATTCTGTGTTGTAAGTCTAATGCGATCTTTTTGTATTAACTTTGAAACCTTGAACTCCCTCTCACTAGCTGTTGAGCTTAAGGGTGAACATAAATATACTTTTGCCAAGTTTGTTAGCCTTGGCAACTCGCTTTTCATGAGACTCCAATATAATAATGGATCTTCTGAAATATCTATTTGCTTTTTCTTATTATTCTTTACATTTAAATAAATTTTTTCTTATTATTCTTTACATTTAAATACTTGAATAGCTCAACTATGTAATTCTAATGATTTAAATTACAATTAAAAAGTTACTTACTTTTTAAATGTTAATGCAATTTTACAATAAATTTATCTTATGAAATTTATTTTAGGATATTTTAAACACCCTGATTGTTGGCAACTTTTAAATATTTCTTCAAATTATTAACTTTGTTTAAAAATTTCAAATAATCAACTTATTACATGATGGCCACTGACTTTTCTAGAATATTCAGGTTGCTGGCTTGTTTGTTCTTTCATCCGGAAAGAACAAATAGATATATGGTGTCTTTAAAAGATAGGAAAAAAAGCAATGATCTTAGAGATAATATGAGAGTAGTAATTATATTTATAGTGTGTATCAGAGAAGATGATAATGATGCCAATGATTAAGATGATGATGATGATGATCATTGTCATCATCATCATCAGAATCATCTTAATCATCATCATCAACTGTATGCTTGATGATGATGATGATAATGATGATGATGATGATGATGATGATGATGATGATGATGATGATGATGATGATGATGATGATGATGATGATAATGACGATGATGATGATGATGACAATGAGATGATATATACACCTTTATATAAAATATATCATGAATTTTAAATAACAATAATATATTTATAAGGAATATCAATATTAATGCAGCCCGGGTCACAAACTCAGCCCCGGCTATGTTTTAATAAACCCGGCCCTGGCCCCGGTCAAATATCAACCTCGGTCGCTTACTAATCATTAGTTTGTGCTTTGATATAGTAGTTATGTGAATAATGGTATTTTAGAACTCAATTTTTGAGCTAACAGAAAGGGAGACTTTGCAAGTACTGATGGGTTAGCTACAATGTAAATAACTATATAGATATATTATGTATACATTGTTATTTTAAATAAAAATTTACTAAAGCATTGTAAATTTGATTTTAAAAAGTCTATCCTAAAAGGATTACATTGCTAAATATGTTTATCAGTCATAAAATTAACAGGTTTATCTAAAAAGTTTTATGTAAAAGATATAAATTTAGACATCTTACTTGATTGGTCCATTCTAGAGTCTTTTGGTAAAGTAGTCATTCTTAATTTCAATAAAGATATCTTAGAATGTGATTGAATGCTTGAGACAAGGTGGCTGTGGAAGTGGTGGTGGTTTAACTAAAATGTAAATCCGAGTGTATATTGTCTGAGATATGTTCATTACAACTATTATTAGTCTTCAAAGATAAAAATAGGACAACTTACTTGCATAATCTTAACTTAATGCATGCAAGTATTTCTAGCACTAAGGTCTTCACAAACTCTATTTCATGTTTATTGTAACATCAAATTAGCTAACTCATCAATATTCGTAACTTTTGCATTAGCATTAAACTAAAATTCTTCTAAAATTTTTTTACTTTACCGTAAAAATAATTAATCATTTGCTAATTAAAACTTGCTTCTTTTTTTTTTTACATAAAAATTAGAACAAACTAAATAAAACTATTATTTTTAAAATTTATAATATATATATATATATATATATATATATATATATATATATATATATATATATATATAATATTATTTGCTTTAACAAGCGATTTATTCAATTTTTAGTGCAATTTTTTTCATATTTAACCATTTCTACTGTAATTGCATTAAACTAGTAATATTAACTCCAAAGAAATTAAAGTAAAAACTAATTTAGATTGAGTAACGCAAAATTATGGATTAATTGTATGTTATTATTTTCAGTTTATATATTATTAGTTTCTATATAAACATTAATAAATTAAAATGAAACCTTTAAAAGATTTAAATAATCAGTACTTTTGCTTTTTTTTATTATCTGCTGATTATCAATACCTTCTTCAGTTTCTGATATTTAAAACTTTTGCAATCCTCATAACAATCTGTAAAAGGAATAACAAAACATCTTATCCAAAGCAATGAAAAATAAAATTTAAAAGTAAATTATTTAACATTTTTTGAATAAAAATTATTATATCACAAACTAAAATAACAATTCAATAAAATATCAAGCTTTTGGTACTTCCAATCAAACAGCCTGGCGATATGACATTTTGCTAAAATGTTAACACTAATTTGGTTGAGGGTACATCAATACATAACATTAACTTGTAACTAAACTTGTTAAAAGTGTTTTAAATAAGTTTAGTCGTCTAGTTTTTTTAGCTTTTTTTGCTTACTTTAGTTTTCCTAATTTCGAGGGATAATATACATATACATACTATATATTTCCACCTGTAAAACTTCAAGCTTGGTAGGTCTTTCATAGCAAAATAAAATAAATGAAAAATAATGCAATAAATATTTCAATAGCTTTTAGATAAAGAGCATAAGATAAAAACAAAACAAGTTGAACTCTCTTTTAACTAATTCAATCTTTAAAGACTCGAACAAATCATCAATGTACCTTTCAAAAATAACAGGAATTACCTTTAATCTTACATTACTTTTTAAGCGTTGAATTTTTATAAATAGCTTTTCATAAGCCTGAGTAATTAGATTATGATTTAAAAGGTAAATATCTGACAGATGTTCAGATTTTAGAATCATATTTAAAAGTACAGAGTTTGCAGTTTATCTTGTGATTACTAAAAAAATAACTTTAAGTTTTAAAAACAATGCAGTTTTTATTTACAGAATGATCTTTACAGAAATAGCCATTAACTTAACTATTATTTTAGGATAATCTAAATTTTAAAGGAGTAAACATGTCACAAAAAATCAATTTACCACTAGCATGTGTACTTGGCTGTTTCCTGTTGCTTTAATTATTGTTGCAACTGACTGGACTGTAGATAAAATATTAAATGAAATTAAACATGCAAAACTTAATAAACATTTAAAAAAATGTTTGCGCAGATTTTAGAAATATAATATAACTATGTAATATAACTATATTATTGTTTGAACCATGTTAACTTTTCTACTAAAGAAAAAATGATACAAAATAATAATCTTTCATATCAGAGGTAAGTAAATTTGTTTTCTCTTTAGTGGTTATCATATAGGAGTATGAATAATACTTAAACTTTTAAAAATATTTTTTAGTTTACACTAAAAGCCTACACTAAAACTGAAGATCCATTATATAAATATTTGAACCTCATATTTTTTGATTGGCACTGACTGCACTAAAAGTATAAATATTATAACATTGCGATTCGATCAATATAACATCTATCATAAACAAATAGATGTTTGGTCTTAATATAAACAAACAATAATAATTTTATTTAGTTATTTAAAAGTAGTAACCACTTAAAATGCATAATTTTTCTCTAAAACTTTTAGAGAAAATTTATGCATTTTAAGTGGTAACTATTTTTCATATTTTTTCTACTTTTAAATATATAATAATAATAAAAGTAGAAATATTAGGAAGCTAAGAGTTAACTATAGACGTTCTTAAGCGTTGTTAAAAACCAAACAGAAAAAACAATTTAAGAAATATTTTAAAAAAAATGCTGAAACTGATACTATTTTGAAATTACAGCTAATTTTTTGAAACTGCTATTTTAGTAGCAATAACTAAATAAAGAATTATCAAAATAATTATCAAAATTGTTACTGTACTTAAAATTACTTTTAATTGCTTATACAAAATTATCGAAAAACTTACAGGACTTTTTAGCTGCTTCATTAACCACATTATAATACTAAAAACAAATTTATTTTTTCTCTTGTAAACTATTTATTACATAAATTAAGATTCATAAGAAATTCTAATTTTTAATCATAATGAAAGATTCAAAATGTCCGACACATTAAGTATGAATTAGTTCCGTACGGAAATTGTTTGATTTAGCTTGTCAACGCAAATTAAATATTCAGAACACGTTTAGAACAGATTCCTAAACGTTTAGATCGACGTAAATGCCATCTAAACGTGATCTAAACCAATTTTAAACCAACAAATGCCCGTTGGGATATTAACATATTTTGGATTTATGACAAAACCTTCGACTACTCATGGATTTATTTTTTTCTCATATTGTTGAAGATGTTATAATAGTACTTTTGCTAATGGATCATCCCAGCTTAAAATTCTGTTTATTAACTTATTAATAACAGCGTCAGAAACTGATTAGCAAGTGAACCGATTAGGAAATAGTGCAAGGAAACCATCGCGTTTGGAGAGAAAAGCTCGCATTGCGTTGTAATTAACTTGATTGATTTTCATTATATCTGCGATTCTTGTAAACCATTTTTTTAATTTTTGTAAGTAGATCTGTTTTGATTGATTATCAGTTAAATACATTTAACTGATAATCACTTCATGGGTCAATTGTGTGTTACAAATAAATTGAAAGAACCAATAGTAACTTGGCAACGCTCGAAAATAGAAATAGATAAAATTATATGGAAAGCTGTACCACCATCACCACAAAAAACAAAATTTTTTTTGTTGTCAACAAGTTGTTCTAGATAACCTAACATAAAAAAGATAGCCAAACCAAGTACTCCACACAGTTGCAATCGAATTTGATGGGTCAAAATCATATGTAACTTGGAAAGTGTGGTGTACCTCAAGGTTCAATACTTGGGCCCTTGCTGGTCCCAACTACTTTTCTTAATCTATGTAAACGATCTCTGTATGGCTTCAAAAAGAATTTCAACTATAATGTTTGCTGACGATAGCAACTTTTTTATCTCTGGAAAATACAATAGCGAGCTGTGCATAGAAATGAACAATGAATTAGAAAGGATTTCAGAGTGGTTTAGGGCAAACAAACTCTCTATTAACTCAAGTAAAACAAAGTTTTCTTTATTTCATCCTTCTTTTAAAAAAAGAAATTAAATCTTTTTTTACGAAATTGTTTATTGAAAATAGAGAAATAGGTAGGGATACTGTTACGAAATTTTTGGGTGTTTTTATTGACAAAAATCTAAATTGGAATATACATATCGCTTATATAGGTAGTAAAATATCCAAAAGCATAGGAATAATATACCAGTCACGTTGTTTATTAAAAAAACCACTACTCAAACAAATCTAGTATAGTTTTGTTCAAAGTTACTTAAACTAAGGAAATATAGCTTGGGGTACCCTTACAGAAAATTTCCATGAAAAACCCCATGAAAAAAGCCCATGGAAAAACCATGGTTATTTGGAACACGTTTTCATGGGAAACCCATGAGTTTTCCATGGAAATCCATGAGTTTTTATGGGAAAACCATGAGTTTTCCATGAAAAATCCATAAGTTTTTCATGAAAAAGTGTTCCAAATACCATGGATATTCAATGATTTTTTATCCATGGAAAAGCCATGGAATTTCCATAGGTATTAGGAACACCTTTCAAAGGAAAACTCATAGATTTTTCATGGTAAAAAAACATGATTTGTTTTCAAGTTTTTTTGATCTAATGTTATTTGAATTCTCATATTAAATCATAAAAGCAAATTTTATCACACTAATATTATCGAGTTCTCTTAATCTATGGGATTGCTTTCTCCGAATAAAATCAATAAACAAAATAAAATTTTAATCTTGCTAAATCCTACAAATCTTTGAGAAATAATTGCTATAATGCACCTAAAACATCAAAACTTGACTTTCCCACAATATTTAATGCATGCATATGTATAACTGAAAATAAATAAAACAAAAAATTACAAGTAATATAATACTATAAGTGATATACACAGTGATAAACAATTGAAATATATCAAGAAAATAATTTTTACAGAAAATAGAACAATTTACATATTTATTATTTTATATTAACTATTTGATAAAAATAGTATATATAAATTTTATAATAACTTCAAGTTATAATGATAAAAACATCAAGCCCATTTATAAATGCATCTTTACTGTATCTGTAGAAACAGGTAGATGTTAAACAAAGTACCAGTCACATTTTGATATTCATTATTTTTTTGACCGTAGTTAGTCTCATTCTCCATTTCACCAATCTAGACAATACATCATACAACTATTATATACATTTTAACTAGTTTTCTTTTTTTACAAATTCATTTTACTTATAATTATTATGGTTAAAAATATTTTATTAAGGTTAAAATGAAAAGATTTTATTTTATTAAGGTTAAAATGAAAAGATTTATACACATATATAAATTTTACCTGCACATTAGTAACATTTATATAGAACAAGGCAGCAACAAATATAGTATAACTTATAAATTGTAATTTTAAGTAAAAACTTACTTCTTTGTCTGAGCTGTCTGCATGATGTACAACATTATTTATATTGTCAGTCAAACTTACCTGCTTATAATGCAGTAATTTAAATAAAATGATAAAGATAAAATAAAAGAACTTACATACACACCATTAAATTCAAAAATTTACTTTACTATTTAAAACATAAAAAATATGTAATTTATAGTAATGTAGAAGCATAATAAATATCAAAGTGTGTGCATAAATTAATTTATTTTAACTAAAGATGAGCACTTTATATTAGTTAAATATAAACAAATAAAAATAATTGTATTATAATAAATAATAGTGTAATATAATAGATAATAGTGTATTATTTATAAACATTGCTTTTATATGCTTATATTTAACTATGAAGTAAAATCTTGTACATTAATTAACTTCCCTTTGTGATACTTTTAAAATATTACCACAGTTTTCCTTCTCCAACTAAGTGGTTCTTAGAACATCCTTACAAGTTGAATCCCAAAGATTACGCTTATATCTTTTCTGGTTAATATAAACTCAATTCACCATTTTATTTTAACAGCTTTTGAACTACTTTTTAAAATTTTAAATGCATATAAAAACTGACGATGTTATAAACAATATAAACGATGAACAACATTATTTATATTGCCAGTCAAACCTGCCGGCTTATAATGTTGTAATTTAAATAAAATAATAAAGTAAATATAAAAGAACTTATAAACAATATTTATATTACATTATTTACATATTCTAATAATTCTAAAGAAAAACAACAACAAAAAGGCAAAAACAACTTAACAGAACTAAAATTGAATTGAACATTTATCATAAAAAAATGTTTATTAATACTTAATGAACATTTACCATACAATAAACTTCAAGCATTTTTATGAAATCTAAGGCTATTATAAATAAAAAATAAAAAAGATCATACTAGTTATCTTTTGTACATTAGTTATCTAATCTTATTATCTTAGTTATCTAATCTTATACTGATATACTGCTTATATATTAATATTTAAGATAAGTTTGCTTAATATGTTAGATAAGTTTTATAATAACAATTATATTAGTTTTAATGTACATTAGATTACACTATGTACATTAATACACTAGTTATTTAATGTAGATTAAAACTAAATATTTATTTGTTGTAAACTAAATAATAATTATTAGGCTAATAATTTGCCAAGTAAGCATTAAAATTCAAACTGGTTTACTTGAAATACTTGCTATACTATTGCAAGTTATATAAAGTAAACAAAGCTACTGGAAACAGTTAAAATAAGTATATGCATAAATGATATATAATTAAATATAATTAAAAATAATCCATTTTATAATGCATTATAATATGATAAATATATCTAGTTGTTTATGTCTGTATGTTTAGTTCGAATCATCTAAATGTGATGCATTATAAAAAACATATAATTTATAGTCTTATCAAACACAGAAAAATAGAAGAATGCAGTAAGTATTGTTTACTCAAGTTAAAAGTAATCGTAACTCTACGAGCTATGACGCCATCTTTAGAAGCGCATTCGTAACAACTAGGGAAACGTTAAATCCAATCCGTCAAAGTGCTGTTTGAATAGTTTTTAAAAATTCTAGACCCGATTACGGCATTTACAATGTGATATAAACGTTATCAAATTGATATTAAACGAAAATATTATTAATAACAACATGATTAATAATAAATATTAAATACAAATGTTATTAAATGTTATTAAAAATCTCAGAGTTTCTTTTGTTTTAAAGTTAAAACTATATTTCTGTTGGAGATCGCATCGGTCAGTAAAATTTAGATTGCACTTTGAAGGATTGGATTTAGTGTTTTACTAACAACCATGGCGCAGCATAAGCTATAAAAAAAAACCACGGTCTCCCCATGGAAATTCCATGGGATTTCAATTTTCATGAAATTCACTCATGGAAATTTCATGAAATATCCGTTTTCCATTGGAAAACCATGGTTTACTCATGGAACTCCATGGGTTTTCCATGGAATATTTCCGTAAGGGTAGTACCTATAAAAACGAAACTAGAACCACTTTATCGTAAACAGAAGCATGTTATTTTAAAAATAAAACAGAACACTCAAAACCTCTTTTTGAACAAATGTCTTTATTAACATTGTTTGAACTAAATGTATATGTTTTAAGTCTTATGTATAATAGCAAAATGCAAAAAAGTCCTTCAATTTTCTATAGTCTTTATAAACAAAAACCAGAGTACAAATATTTATTGCGTACAAATAGTACCTTGTTAGAGCCTTCATGCAAAAATAAGCTTGAACAATTCAAAATGACTTATCGTGCACCTCATATCTAGAATAAGTTTTTACTAATTAATTAAAATAATATTGATTTAAAAAACTTAAATTGCTTTAAAAAAACTATTAAAAAGGGTATTTTAAAGTATAAAAATTTAGTTAGTGATTTTTTTAAAATTTATTTATAAATATTTTCTTTTTTGTTTAAATTTAAATTTAAATTTTTTTTTCACTTTCTCTTCAACCTATATTATTTGGAGAATGTATGATAGTATTAGCTCCTATCTGTAAAAAGATATTATTGAATGCAAAACAGTCAAACTCTTTCAAGTCTTTAAATGTTATCGTGCTAAAACGAGCGCAAACGCATTGCTTGGGGATTACTGGAAGGGTATTGGTAACTAATTTTAGAGTACCACCTGTGACGTTATAACTTTGGATCTGACAAATTTTCTGCTATCAGAGGGTGGAAGTTATGG